CAGTACTTCTGGAGCATGTGCTGTGCCCATGGCCAGCTCCATGTAGGTAGGTTGTGGGAATGCAGAGGTGGTCATTCAAGCACCCCTGCTGGGGATTCGGAGTTTTGTGGAGAAGTAGATCAGTAAGCACATGGGTACCAGATAGGGTAGTCAAGGATGTTGATTCACAATTGTCCCTGTTTTCCTAAGCTTGCCACATCATGCAAGGCTGCTACCCAAGTGACATTCTTGGGCTTCACCAAGTGTCTTCACCAAGCTCCACCCAGCTGTCACACAATGGGTAATACTGTGGGCCAGATGGAGAGGCAGGCTTTCACGGGGGCTCTGTTTTAAAAAAGGGAAGTTCTCTATTCTTTTACAACACTTGTTTTCCCCAAGCCATTCAGCATAGCATTACTCAAGTCCCATGGAGAGAACCTGCCAACAGAGAGCTCTCCTTGCTCAGGCCTGTCCCCTGATATGCTTCCAGGTCTTAAAAGAGTGAGAACTCAGCATTCCCTCTCTGCTTTGCCTGCCAGGAAGCTCAGAGATAACTTGTTTGCACAGTTCCAGTAGCTTTCCTGACCAGGATTTCTTTTTCTTATAAAATTTGCCCTCATTCCTTTCCAAGGAATGTTGCTTCTTGTGTTTTGTTTGCTTGTGTTGCTTTTGTCTCTGTGTCTTACTTTTTGGGGGCAGGATTGGCAGCAGGGTGGTAGTTAGAAGCACCAGTAGTGAAACTGGACACACCTGGGTTTCATCCCATTTGCTAGCTGTGTCATTTTAAGTAAGATAAGTTGCCCCTTCAGTTTTTGGTTCCTTGCCTTAAAAATTGGGATAATGATCACAATGAATAGATAGGTTATTGTGAAGACTAAACTTATTTATTTCAAATGCCCTTGTTTCCTGTTCCTGCTCCTGGATCAGACTTGATCTGTGGCTGTGGAATCCTAGTCTTCATTTCCTTCTTCCGGCCCCTGTCAATCAGCATACAGCGGGTTGTACAACAGTAGTGACTAGGGGACCAATCATCCCAGTTGTCTGGGACAGAGGGGTTTCCTGGGATGCAGGACTTTCAGTGCTGAAATGGGAAGGTCCAGGGCAAATGGATGAGTTGGTCACCCTGGTAATAACCTCATCATTGAGTGGCTTACAGTAGCAAAGGTTTTTTCTTCCTTGTGCTACTGTCCATCCACCCTGGCGAAATGAGGAGATTCTAGCCAGGAAATTGACAGTCTTGGGCACAGACAGAGGAACATGTTAAAGATTCTTTAGAAAGTTGTAGCTGTCACTTCTGCTTGGTCAGGGCCAGTCACATGGCCAGGCCTGCCACCAGGCTGTCAGTGCAGAACCTTCCCACTGGGTGTAGCAGCTCAGAGTGGAACATTGATCCACTTTGCCAGGCTCACCTTTCTCTTCTTTCACATTTTAGGGTGCTGGAGCAGGGACCAGGTAAAGGAGAGAGTCACCTGGTCTGGACTGGGGGTCTTGGATGTAGTCATCTTCCTGTAGATAGTGGGTTTGGGTTTCTTAAGGGGCAGTGTTCAGCCTCACCCTGCTCTGCTCAGAGGAACAGCTGTGTCTCCTTTGGGCACCTTCTAGTGGCTGATGTCCTGGCCCTTCTCAGCTGCCAAGCCCTCTGTTTGCAGGGCAGGCTAGGCTGTGCCTTCTCTTCCACCTTCCTTGGTCCTTTCTATGGAGACCTGAGATTGTTTCCCCATGCTCCTCAGTGGAGTGAAGGGTTCCCTCACATTCTTCCAAGGCATCCTGCACAAGTCCCTCCATTGCCCTACTTTCTCTGGCAGTCCAGTAAGCCTCCATCCCACCTTTGGGACTGTCTAGCTCAGAAGTGGGCACACCCGTAGTCCCTAACTCCAGGACCACAGACCAGTCTCTTCCCAGAGCATTCTCACCACGTGCCATGTGGATGGCCAGGTCAGGGCGGCCCTCAGAGCCCACCCTCGGCAAGGGTACCCTCTCAAAGGCACCTCTGTTGGCTCAAATCCCTTTTGGAAGTAGTTAGCCCAGAAAGAGGCTTTCTTTTTTTATCTTTTGTTGTTTTATTTATTGTTCTTACATCTAAGAACACCTTCTTAGGCAGAAAACAGTTTTCCAAAAATAATGTTAATTAAGTGTCACAATTCGTTTAGCTGCCTTAATTTGTCTAAGCATATAAGAAAGGCTTTTTGAGGCTGGACATGGTGGCTCCAGCCCATAATCCCAACAGTTTGGGAGGGCGATTTGGGGGCACTGCTTGAGCCCAGGAGTCTGGGCAACATAGTGAGACCTTGTCTCTAGTAAAAATAAAAAATTAGCTGTGTATGTGGCATATGCCTGTGGTCCCAGTTACGTGGGAGGCTGAGGTGGGAGGATCATTTGAGGCCAGGAGTTCTAGGTTGCAGTGAGCTATGATCACACCACTGCACCCTAGCCTGGACAATAGGATGCGAACCTGTCTCAAAAAAAAAAAAAGGCTTTTTTGATTTTTGTTTTGCAAAAGTACCAAAATCTATATTACCATTTATTATTCTTATTTCTATAAAGTAAATTTGAGTATTGGGAAAATTGATCAAAATACAAAATTTTATATGGAGTTTAGTACTTTGGATCCTTCGTCTAAATTTCAGGGAAGTCAGGGCTGGGAATGGTGGCTCACGCCTGTAATCTCAGCACTTTGAGAGGCTGAGATGGGCAGATTGCTTGAGCCCAGGACTTCGAGATCAGCCTGGCCAACATGGCAAAGCCTCCTCTCTAAAAAAATTATAAAAACTAACTGGACGTGGTAGTGGTGCACACCTGTAGTCTCAGCTACATGGGAAGCTGAGGCAGGAGGATAGTTTGAGCCCAGGAGACAGAGATTTCAGTGACCCGAGATCATGCCGTTGCACTCCAGCCTTGGCAACAGAGCAAGACTGTCTCAAAAAATAATTAAATAAGTAAATTTCAGGGAACTCAGAGAACGAGAAAGACTGTTTCTTTCATTTAGCATTTGTTGAGTACCACCAGGAGTGAGGAATGAGACCAGGCACAGGAGACGCCTATAAATAAGGCCCTACCTGTGTGAAGCTTATGGGAGGTGGAGGAGACAGGCCTGCAAGCAGAGAATGGCCACAGGGCGTGAAGGAGCCGAGACAGGAGCAGCTGCAGGAGAGCCAGGGAGAGAGGATACAGCTGTGAAGCCTTCTCCAGGAGGTGAGCCTGTGTGCACAGGAAAGAAAAGCAGGCATTCATCAGGTGACGGGGTGGTTGAAGGGAGCCATACCTGCAAGAAACGTGGACCCAGCAGAGGCAGGGTGCTTCTGGGAACTCTCGTCTTTTAGTCTGCCGGGGGCTTTGGGCAGCAGATGGGAGAGTTGGGCTGAAGACTAAGCAAGGCCTGATGTTTCTTGCTGGGGGGTTTTGAAACTTGTCTAGGAGACTTAGGGGGAGCAGTGAAGCTTTTGCAGTGGTCTGAGCAAAGGAATGTCCTGCCTCTGATCACAGTGGGAAGAGGATGAGGCTGGCAAGGACAGCTGACTGAACCTGGGCAGTGACAGGGAGCTGGAGGGAAGTGGCTGGGCCCATCCCTTAGAGGGCTGTGTGGGGGCTGTGGGGTGTGGGAGGGAGAGAGGAAGGAAGCCCAGGGTAGGTTCTGGATTCTTAATTTGGGGGCTGGGAGGATAGCGTGTGACCTAAACAGAGAATCAGATTTAGATGGAATTACGTATACTAAGCCTGGGGATTTCACATCCATTTGCTGCTGCTTTACCAGTTGAGGCTCAAGGACGGGAAGCCCAAAATTTCTGGTCATATTATTTGCATGTGCCCAAACTGGGGTTAACAGAATCCGACACAGTGAGGGTTCCTGAATCACACTGCAACGGGGAATGAATGCCTTGGGAGGCTGGAAGCAGCTCTATTCATAGATACTCATTTGGTGATCTCTATAATGGTCAAGGCAAAGATACATACCCCAAAGACTGCAAGAATTAGCCAGTGGAATTTGAAATGCCGAAATTTTTGCTTCAGAAAGCTCAGGAAAGCCCTGTTTAAAATCTAAATTTTGCCGTCTAAAGGCAGTGCAAGGATGGACTAGGAGAATGTGGGGTGACCCTTTTCTTCCTTTGAGAGCTGGTTCATGCCAGACACAAGAATCGTCCACTTGAGTCACAGGGTGGAGAGGAGACCCCTCAGTCCTGTCAGTAAGGTGGTAGGGAGCATTGCCACGTGGCTACCATGAATGCCATTTCAGAATTTATTTCTCTCTTAACTTCATGTGTGCCCAGATGCACTTGAGATTCACTGATGTTTTCTTTAGACCGTGGAGCCTGCTTCAGCAGTTAGTTTCAGGTGTTGGCTCTACTGGCATTAGGTTTCGACTTAATGTTTTCTGAAGACATGTTTTCTGCTGTTTTTCATTGTTCTTGTCTGGCGTCAGGCTGCTGCCTTCAACCTAGCAAGAGCTGAGTGGTGTCTTCAGCAGTGAGGTAGCTCCTGGAGGCCGCCACTGTCTTGCTGTGTGACTTTGGCTAATTTCTTCACCTCCCTGTGCCTCAGCCTCCTCTTCTGTAAAGTGGAGAACACAGGAGTGTCTACCTCATAGAGCTACTGTCAGGTTTCAGTGAGTTAATCTACATGAAACAATAAGGATAGAGCCTGACACAAAATCACACTCAACAGGTTTTCACAATTATGATTACTTGACCCAGTAGGAGAAATGAAAAAACACAACTGACTTCCTTCTAAGGACGTGCCCAAGAATCCAGTTTTAGTAACTTTGAAGGCATTGTTTTTCACAGAAAGTATCTCCTGCCAGATTTTTTCATGTGTTTGCAGCTTAGCTTTAACAAGGAGCTGAAGGACGGCCAGGCAGCAAGGGATGGTGAGTGCTGGTAGCGTGTGGGGAGCACACCCAGACTTCCTCCCTGTAATTAGGAGTCTGAACCATCTCCACCATCTCCCTTAGCTAATAAGAGATTTTTACGTTTGCTTACCTCAAAGTGACCTGTCTGGGTTTTCTTTTTTTGTGGCCCCCACTGTAGGTTTTTGGAAGAAGCTGACTGCCTGAAAAGAAATTACAAAACATGAAAATCGCTTTGAGGTGACCAACAGCTCCAGAGGCCCCTAACTCCTCCCAAGCTGGATCTGGGGTGTAAGCGCTGTAACTTCAGGTAACAAAGAAGTGTCCCCTCTCCTGCCCCCGGCAACTGATAATTATTGGTAGCTTGCATGGCAGTTCTTCCTTTAGGAAGTGTAGTTTCTTCCAGGAACTCTGAAACTTGGGATATTCCACCTCATGCGGTTGTTTGACTGGTCAAAAGGGGAGTAGGGGATTCTGGAGGTACTTCATGTCTGCCACCTGGCCCAAGGAGGCCCAGGCTCACCAAGACCCTAAGGGCAGGGCTCTGTACTCATTTCCTGGCCCTGCTTCTGTGAATGTTAATGACAAAATAACAACAATGGCACCCACCCAACAGGGTCTTTTATGCTATTAAGTAATCATGAAATACTTCTTGAAGGATAAATCAGAGAGAATAGCTGGGAAATGTTTGCAAATAAAGAGCAGCAAGAGAGGAACTATTTGTTCTGCTAGCTGTTCAAATGTATTGTAAGGCACAGTCATCAAAACAGTATGGTACTGTGATGGAGATAACTAGATCAAAGGAACAGAATAGGGAGTCCAGAAATAGGTGATAAATCAATAAAGGTGTATTTCACATTAGTGGCAATGGGATAAATGAGCTAGCAAATGGTGTTAGAAAAAATTTTCTCTCTGTTAGAGGGATATAAGAAATTCCTAAGCTTAGGTAGTATACCAAAATGATTTCCAAATAGCATTAAATTAAAAAATCCTTAAAATCTTAGTAAAAAAAGAGAATATTTACATTATTTGGGGTGAGAAAAGGCTTTTAAAACATGTCACTTTTGGTGCCACATAAAAATATTGTAAACAAAGTTAAAAAAACAAAAGGGTGGGCTGGGCGCGGTGGCTCACGCCTGTAATCCCAGCATTTTGGGAGACTGAGGCGGGTGGATCACGAGGTCAGGAGATGGAGACCATCCTGGCAAACATGGTGAAACCCCGTCTCTACTAAAAATACAAAAAATTAGCTGGGCATGGTGGCACGTGCCTGTAATCCCAGCTACTAAGGAGGCTGAGGCAGCAGAATTGCCTGAACCCAGGAGGCGGAGGTTGCGGTGAGCCGAGATCGCGCCATTGCACTCCAGCCTGGGTAACAAGAGCGAAACTCCATCTCA